GTCTGAGATAGAATGAATTTTTCCTTCATATATATAAAGACAATTGCGGAGGTTATTTTTAATATATACTACGTATGTCCTAGTGACAATAACTTTCGTAGTACTCCCTCCGTCCCAATTTACTTAGCCAAACTTAATTTTTCAAGTCAATGACGTCTAACTTTAACCGATTATATGTTTATATAGAGAAAGTATTGATAATATGAAAATTGTATAAAAAATGTTCTTTGTTAAAAGTACTATCATAAAAGTAAAAATTATTAAATTTTGCATAAACATATTAGTCGAAATAATTGGTCAAAGTTTATCATCTTTGACTGGAAAAGTTAAAGATGACTAAATAAATTGGGACGGATGTAGTATGTAGTAGATCACATTCAATTAAAAATATATTTGACTAACATGGGTACGTGCGTTGCATGAAGTTTAATGCCCAACGGAAACACATAGTTGATGTGAAGAGCAAAATGATTAAACAATGCCTACATAAGCAAGATAAAGCAGGATAATTAAAAATAGTGCTGGCAATATCACTCGCACCCGCGGATACCCGGTCAAACCGAACCGAAAATGTGGATGAAAACTCGAAGAAGTATGGATGAAAAATGGATGACGGGTGGATCGAAAGACGGGGTGGATCGGGTGTGGATGAAGGCTCATCCAACCCATCACCCGACCCGTCACCCGTTCCATCCACTCACCTGTTGACCCACATATAAATATATACTCCGTAATATATAATACTACCTCCGCTTTTTTTTAATCTTCACAGTTTGACTTCACACAAAATGAGGAAAGAAATTTGACTTTACTGTAGAGGACACTGTTGAGGCACTGTTTGACACTGTTTGGCACTGTAGAGACACTGTTTGGCACTGTTGAGACACTGTTTGGCACTGTTTTGATGTAGATTTCTTTGCCAAAAAAGGAAATAAGGAAGTGTGAAGTTTATTAAAAACCGGAGGGAGTATATATTATATCTATTTAATAATATATAATAATAATAATAATAATAATAATAATAATAATAATAATAATAATAATAATAATAATAATAATAATAATAATAATAATAATAATAATAATAATAATAATAATAATAATAATAATAATAATAATAATAATAATAATAATAATAATAATAATAATAATAATAATAATAATAATAATAATAATAATAATAATAATAATAATAATAATAATAATAATAATAATAATAATAATAATAATAATAATAATAATAATAATAATAATAATAATAATAATAATAATAATAATAATAATAATAATAATAATAATAATAATAATAATAATAATAATAATAATAATAATAATAATAATAATAATAATAATAATAATAATAATAATAATAATAATAATAATAATAATAATAATAATAATAATAATAATAATAATAATAATAATAATAATAATAATAATAATAATAATAATAATAATAATAATAATAATAATAATAATAATAATAATAATAATAATAATAATAATAATAATAATAATAATAATAATAATAATAATAATAATAATAATAATAATAATAATAATAATAATAATAATAATAATAATAATAATAATAATAATAATAATAATAATAATAATAATAATAATAATAATAATAATAATAATAATAATAATAATAATAATAATAATAATAATAATAATAATAATAATAATAATAATAATAATAATAATAATAATAATAATAATAATAATAATAATAATAATAATAATAATAATAATAATAATAATAATAATAATAATAATAATAATAATAATAATAATAATAATAATAATAATAATAATAATAATAATAATAATAATAATAATAATAATAATAATAATAATAATAATAATAATAATAATAATAATAATAATAATAATAATAATAATAATAATAATAATAATAATAATAATAATAATAATAATAATAATAATAATAATAATAATAATAATAATAATAATAATAATAATAATAATAATAATAATAATAATAATAATAATAATAATAATACTAATAATAATACTAATAATAATACTAATAATAATAATAATAATAATAATAATAATAATAATAATAATAATAATAATAATAATAATAATAATAATAATAATAATAATAATAATAATAATAATAATAATAATAATAATAATAATAATAATAATAATAATAATAATAATAATAATAATAATAATAATAATAATAATAATAATAATAATAATAATAATAATAATAATAATAATAGTTAATTGGTGAAACAAAGATGATTGGAGAGTTTCAAGAAGTGACAATTGAATAGCAAAAATAGTTTTGTGCCGATGCATAAATGCAGAATTTAACAACTTGAAGAAGTTTTATGTCTATTTTATTTAACATTCAGTTCTTTCTTTATCATCAGCACTGAATTAATGCTTGTAATATAGTTAATTGCTCATTTTTTGTTATTTTATAATGAATTCTTAATTTTTGTTTTTTTATTGTCATGATTTCTCTTTGTAATTTATTTTTTGTGTGTCAAGTTTGACCATTTATATTTCACCCGCTACTCACCCAATCCACCCGATAACCCGTTCAAGATGGATGGGTTGAATGTGGATGTAATTTTTAATGGATGATGGACGGGTGGGTGGAGTATAAAAAATTAACGGGTGGACGTGGATGAGCCTCCACCTGATAAAAATCCGACCAGTTGCCACCCCTAATTAAAAAGAACAAAAATAGCAATTATAACCATGAATATTTGAAAGAATTCTCATTCTTATAGTACTCCAATTACTTGGAATACAACAAATCAATACATAAAGGGAAAAAACACCATATTTGAAGAAAAACGTAGATAGTGTGAAATGAAAAGAACAATTAGAGGTGCAGCAGAAAGAGCATGTAGATGCACAAGACGTGTGCCAGACACCTACCATCAACGACAATGCTTCTACGGTTCTACCTATAATCTACCTATAAGGCTGTAAGAGAGAAAATATATATACCACACGAAAGTTATGCAAATATAAAAACATATACTCCCTCCACCCCTAAATAAACTTTCAACTTTCCTTTTTTGTCCGTCCCAATTAAAACTTTCATTTTTCCTTTTTGGCCAGAATTTGTGGTTCACAGCAATTCTTACGCATTTGTCTCTCCTCTGCACAACTCTTCACCACATAATACCCACTGTCTTAAACTGTGTGTCAAACCTATTTGAAAGTTTAAAAGGGACGGAGGGAGTACTCCATATCTCCATCTTTTTAGCAACATAGAGCAAGGCCTTGTGTATTTCATGATAAGCTTCATCAGGGCCGGTCCTAGGAATTCTAGGACCCTGTGCAAAGAAAAAATTAGGAAACCAAATTCACTTTGTTATAAGTAAATTTTAATCACATGATGTTTGTTATTTGTTCAAAATTATGTTAATAATACACAAATGATACAAGAGAATCGAAGGATTAACTATGTAATTCAAATTAATTTAAATTTCAAATTCACAAGTACATTAAATTTCAAATGTTAAATTTTTTGAATAAAATATAAATATGTAAAGCTATCAAAGATTCGAACACATGACTTGAAAGGCAAACACTGAGCATCCATTTCTTTCTTACCGCTCTGCTATCAAGAAACTTGCATAATATACTCGCACTTTCTATATAGGTAGCATTAACTAATCCTTCTAATTATTTTTTGGCATTCATTTTTTATGGGCCTGGGCCGGCCCTGAGCTTCATAGTACCCATTGAATAAAAATATTCGATATATAGTTCATATCTGTATACTAGGATTCCATGTTTAATTTAAAGCAACTTAATAGTTGGCCCGTCAACACAACCAAAACAAAAAATATAATTTCTCACTTAAATTAATTAAGCAATAGCAAACATAGCCTTAGTCCTCTCTAACTCCAGGAGTACGTATGTCCAATTATAAAGAAATTATTGTCAGCTACTCAGCTCCATACTAGGGGTGGACTCGGGCCGGGCATGCCGCCCCGGAACCGGCCCGACCCGGTCACTATTTGAACCGACCCGGCCAGGGACCGGTCCGGGTAGGCCCGACCCGCTGGGGTTCCGGGCCGGGCTCGGGCCCCTCAAAAGGTGAACCAGCCCGGCCGGTCCGGGCCAATTTATTTTTGGGTTGGGCTGGATATTTTGGGCCATTTGAGGTGGTTTGGGGTGTTTTGGGGGTGAGGGGGGAGGGTTGGGGGTTAATTAGGAAAAGCCAAAAAAAATTAAATTGAACCGAGGCCCGGCCCGACCCGGACCCGAGGGTTACCCGGGTCGGTTCCGGGCTTCCCCTTTTATGAACCGAGGCCCGGCTGGGTCCAGGCCCGAACCGGGCCAGAATCTACCCATACTCCATACCTCTCTGCTAAAGACTTTGAATTTGTCATCTTATCCGAGGCTACTATTAGAGTTGAAATTGTAAAAGTAACCACTAACGCTATTCAGATAAGTCTTAATGATCCTCTAGACAATAAAATGAAGTATTTTTTTAATATCACGATTAAAATGAAAGGAAATCTATTAGGTTGTTTGATTGTCAAACATAAATTGTTATGATCAATGAAGGACTACAAAAAAAACATCATAAATTATACAGATGAAAAATATAAATATATTTTGTAATAATATAGAACAAGAATCTTTATATTTACATAGGCTGAAAACTTATTTAAGTCTATATTTACAGAGGCTAATTAAAAATATAATTAAATCTATGCAGTACTAATAATATGCAGTACGGACTACAAAGTGCATAACATAAATTTAGAAGAAAAAACTTGGGTAAAAAAAGGTTTACATTCAAATTTTGAGACATTCTTTTCAAACTCCTTGTAAGTGTACATTTCTATATATATCATATATGTACAAAAAATTGAAACATCCAAGCTGACTTTCTTCCACATTTTCCCTGGCAAAATTTAACATAACAAACTGACTTTCTGACTTCTGAGCATGTTTTTTTCATTTTCAATACCATTAAATTAACCATAGACTTCAGGTTTTTTACATTATTGTTACGTTGAGGATTAAGATTTCCTTCTCACATACACAATGTGGGCCTTATTTTAAAATTAAAAAAAAAAGCCAGCATATTGAATTTTATGTGGCAAATTAATACGGAGTACAAGCGTAACTGCTGGACAAGAAAGATGATGTGCACTCCTTTTAAAGTACTGAATTTCTTCATAGTTTAAACTTCAATTTTGTTACTCCCTCCGATTCAAAATTAAGTTCCAGTTCGGTTTACGATGCTTGACTGACGATAAAGCAACTCGACCCCTGTTCACACTTGGATTATTTTTAGTAAATAAAATTTACATATTAAGAAACTACATTAAAACCGCTACAAAACCTGATCAAGAAAATTTCAATTTAATAAAAATTTGATATATATAATAAATGATTAGGAGTGACTTAAGTTGACCAATGAATAGTGAAGTGGAACTTGTTTTTGAATCGGAGGGAGTACTATATTAATCGATAATGGCTATGTTCTACAAATCACCACCTAATTTCAATTAAATACTGCACCAATTACACTTGCTCTGCCTTCAGATTCCTCAAAATAGCTGTTGCCTCGCCATCAATAACCAGAGAGCCATCGTGTTTGAAGCATTTTGTGGAGAATTTGGCCCTAAAAGAACAAATAGAAACAATCAAAAACAAAGAGAAAATAAAGGTGGTCTACGGGAAAAAAACATAAACAGCTTGAACATACACATGTTTGGTTTTCAGATCCTTGATATTTGTTGTACATATTTCGCCAACTATCTCCTCTCCGATGTACACTGGTAGCTTGAAGTGTAATGTTTGAGAAACATATACAGCTCCTGGCTATAACAAAAAAGTATCCCGTAAATGAAAGTATGCCCGGACAATATGCTCACAAATTATGTAGCTCGGATACTGTACTTACATGAAATTTTTTAGTAGTCTTGGGTGTATTGGCAACATTTTAAAAATACAGATACTCAAATCCTAGGTGAACAAGCATATCAAGTGAAAAAACGTTGATACAAAATATGCATTGGTGGATGTATGCATAGTCTTAAATGTAGACATTATATATATATAGAAAAAATTAAGCATTAATTGATAAGATAAGTATTAAATCAATTTTTATTATACTTGTGAAATAATTATTCATATTTTTCGTAATATCATAATTAGATTACAATGAAGAAGAAGTTTCTTTGCAAGTATTTGCAAATTAAGCCTGCACACCCCTATCCTAAACTTTTCAAGATTGAGCTATCACCATACCAGTATTTAATTATCCACACTTCACTGATGCACTATACGGTTAAACATAAATCTTTAATAAGAGGAGTAAAGTGAAGGAGACAAGTACTAACGAAATTTGAAGCAATGGTTCTGGGAAATAAGGAGGCGATGAGCATTCCAGGAACAACCCTGTCTTTGAATCCAGCAGCCTTAGCCCATTCAGGGTCAAAATGCAAAGGGTTTGTGTCGTGGCTCATTCTAGAGTAAGCAAGCACATCTTCATCTGTAAATACCTGAGCTTGCTTAAGAACATCCCCACACTTGAGAAAATTGGTAGACTTGAACGAAGAGAAGCTGCGGGAAGAAGACACATAGCTCCAAGATGCACGCCTCACTAGCATTGTTCAAGAAACCCCTCAAATGTCGCAATAGAACATTTATTTTAGGAGAAGTACACACCCGCCAACTTTGGACCTACATAATTAGATGATTGAATACCACAGGAGCATTGATCAAACCTGCAAAACAGCCATCAGTAATATTTTTATAAATGAATACAATCTGATATAACCACTACATATTAATGAATCGAGAAAGAATAACATGACATGTAGGGTTGGCCCACATTATTATGGTTTGTATAATAAAAGTGACATACCTTTTATTCCAAATATGTTATCAATCTGATACAAATAACTGGGAAGGCATAAACCAAGATACTAATGAGCTATGGTCAAGAATCAAATTTCCGATTCGTAAAGTAACAGTTCAAAGTTCAAACTCCTTCATACAGCATAAAGAACGCACATGGCCACATCTTTCCTCATTTATATTAGATAAATACATTTCAATACCATGTGCCAAATAAAAACTTCTAATATTTCTATCAATTATTTAAATTTTCAAATTCATTGTTCGGACATTTAAAACAATAATTAAATTCTCATTTCAATAAACTCAGTAACAATTCCAACTTCAATCATGTCTAATAATCAAAATTCCAATTCCAACCACTTAGAAACTGAAAAACAGAAAAAACCAATTAACCTGAAAAAAGAGGAAATAAAATTACCAATGTCAGGGGAACAAAATAAAGCTGAAAAGGTTGAATAACTTAAAGCTGATTTCTTTACCAATGTTAAAATAAAATATTAACAAAGTAAAAAATTAAGGGAAACATAACGTCTGAGGCTGGAATCATGGATGGAAGGTGTAAGGCCTGGTTAGCACCGCACCGCCAAGGGCGAACTAGCATTTCAATCGAGTGCGGGCCAAAAAAATCATATATTTAAATAACTGTAATTGCAAAAAAGTAAATTAAAAAAAATCAAATATTTCCAGGGGTAAGAGTTTTCATCCATATCAACTGTCAAGTACAAACAAATACGTAGTACATCAGAAATTCATAATTGTTCTCTACTGGTTTTCATATGATAAGTTATACTATCCTAGTCCCTAGAAGGGTCCTCAAAATTATATGAAAAACAGTGGGACTATTAATAACACAAGCTTATCAGATTAACTCTAAATAAAGGGATTAATACTCAAAATCATATCAATACTAAATAACTAATGGGATTAACTCTAACTTTCTAAACAATGGGACTCACTCTCAGTCTATCATATTCAAACAAATGGGATTAATACCAAACAATGAAAACCAAGCCGACAAAAAGGGAATTACGAATTGGAAAATCAACTTAACCAAATGTCCAAATTGAAGTTCAAATGCACTTTAAGCGCACTCATAGAACTCCATTAGATTTTAATGGGATAATGCATCACCTTGAGCAGGACATTCGGGATTTAACTTCTTCACACACAAATTTTTCCAAACCTTTTTTATTAAGGTCCCTTTCACTAAAAACTTAATTAGTGGCATCTACAAAACAACAAAATCACAACAGCACTACTCAAATCAACTAGATAAGAAATCATGTAGTCGACACACAGAAACTAATCCACTCACAACAATCAACATTCAACAACTATGATTCTGTATTTCTATGAACCATTAAACTAATCAAGTACTCAATATAAGAGTTGAATAGGTAAATAGCAGGTTAGCAGAATACCAGGAACGGCAGCAGGCAGAATGCACTGAAGGGAAGGGGGTCGAAGGGCCGGAGAGCTGGGAAGAATCGTATCGCAGGAGAGAAGGGGCGGACGGGCGCGGGTCCGGAGGCAATCAAGCGTCCCAGCCGTCGCTGGATGAGGTGTCCGTTCTTTACTTCTGCGTTCAGTTCTCGAATGATTTGGCGGCTATTCTCGGACGCTTGGGTAGGGCTAAACATCAAATAAAAACAATTCAATAAATATTGTAAAATTAATTTTAAAAAACTCTTAAGAGTATTGTGACATTTTTTTTCAAAGAGTTTTGTGACATTTTTGTAAACAAAAATGAATATTTTCAAAGAGTATTGTGACATTTTTTTTCAAAAAGATGACATTTTTCCGGGCGTTCAAAATTGGTGGTGTTGGGAGGTATAGGATGAGACGGCAGAAGCCTACATAATTCTGTAAACACTTTTGAAGTATTTTACAACCTATACCCCTACTCCCCTACAACTTATACCCATACCCATACCCCTAATCCCCTTACCCTACTCGTAGGGGCAAGTGGTAGGGGTCGGGGAGGGGTACGGGTTGAGGGAGGATGGGATGGGAAAGGGTGGGGTCGAAGTGGGGTCGGGATGGGGTCAAGGTAGGGGTGAAGGGGAAGGGTCGAGGTAGGGTAACGTAATAGGCTAGGGGGGTAAAGGGTAGGGTTGGGGTAGGGTAGTAAGGTGGTGGGTTGGGGTGGGGTAAGGGGGTATTGGTCGGGGGTAAGGCCGTGGGGTCAGGGGTTGGGTGGAGCGGATGGGGATGGGGTCGGACCAATGGTCGGGGGTAGGATCGTGGGGTCAGCAGATGAGATGGCGAAATGGGTCTTCTACCATTTAGATAGTGAAGTCCTTGCAGTTTTTAAAAGAGGGTTAGATGAGATTAAAAAAAGATGGTGAAATGTGTCTTCTGTCATAAATGGACCTTACATGACATTCGAGGAAGAAAAGTTGATTAAAAGAAGGTCAAAAATGAAATTGAAAATAAATTATGAAATATGTGAGTCATAAAAATTGTGAGATAAAAAATGTGATCCATATGTAAGGGTGTGTAAGAGATCACACTCATTGAATATGATCTCAGTCGACCATAATGGTCTTGGTGTTAGTTCACATAACGAGTCATTACATTAGTTTGATATGATTCGAACAAAGATTATTGAATAATTCCTTTTGTACACGTTTTTATACCCATCAGTACACGCATGTGTCTGTGAGAGTTTTTTTTTGTCTGTGAAACGCAGTCCACAGACAAAAGCTGGCTTATTTTGTCTGTGGAAAATTTCACAGACAAAACAATCCAACTTATGTCTGTAGACTGCGCTTCACAGACAAAGAAAAAACTCTCATAGACACATGCGTGTACTGATGGGTATAAAAACGTGTACACCAAGAATGATTCAAGATTATTATAGTGAGGTGATGATTAGTTTTTTTCACTAACTCCGGTCTAAATTAGGATGTATCAGGGGCGGATCCAGGATTTCATGTTGGACTGGGCTGAAAAACTTAATTGATAATACATTAAAAATTTTCAAAATAAGCAAATATATATATATATAAGAGTTCTCCACTAAATTTGTTCTAGACGAAGCTTTGAAACAAAAAAAACTCGTCAGTTATAGAGTCTACATCTATACTAAGAGTATGACCTTTTTCAATATAAAGTGTATTGCAATTAACAAAAAAGTCATCATCCATTTTGACGCGGAGTGTTGTCTTTAAAAGTTTCACGGCAGAAAATGATCATTCTATTGTTGAAGTGAAAACAATAAGATCAATACAAAGCGAATCAACTGCTCACATAATTCAACAAGTGTAGATACTCGAAACTTTGTATCATGAATCACATCATGAGCATAGTGTTGTCGCTTGAATTCAAAAGCATTACTAAAACCTTCGGGATAGAACTTCCTTGCAAGAGTTTACAAATAGCATCGGCATTGAATGACACATGAACTTTCGGGATCCAATGAAGCACTCAAAGAAAGGAGTTTGATCCATTGATTTATCATTAAACCGAGTCCTTAACTTCATCAATACAAAGTCTATTGCCTCATTGAAAACATCAAAGTGATAATGAATGCTCAACTGTAGTTTCTTTTCGGCAATGACCAACCATATATTTAGAATTCAATTTCGGTTCAAGAATTTCTTTTTTGAGCAAAACTCCTTTGCTTCTTCAAGAAAGCCTTCACATCCATTTTATGTCACTTCCACGAGAATGAGTTGTGTAGTAGAAACATGTCTCATTGCTATCAAGATATCCAATAATTGTTTGAAGGTCTTGACAAAGAATACTCGTTACATCAAAAGTGAATTGAACACAAATTCAAAACATGGAAAGTGTCTATATACACTATGAACTTCTGCCCAAGAACTCACTTTTGGGCAATGTTCTTGAATATACTCAAACACTTTACAAGTTGATGTGCATCATATTTGAATCATATTTTATTGTATTTATTACATTTATTCCTTTTGGGCTTTACGACCCTTATACGTACGATGTACAAAAGTGCCTCTTGTTAAGTGGGAGGTAATTCGTATAACATTTAGATTAGATTTTTAGATGGAATGATTTTGTTTTATGGGTTGGGCTGAAAAATTGGATTGGGCTATAGAAAAATTTGGGCTGGGCTGGATAGAATTTTGTGAAAATAATACCTTAAAAAAATTAATTTTTTTTACTTTGCCCTGGGCTTCAGCCCACCATAGCCCTAACATAGATCCTCCCCTGGGATGTATGCATGTATTAAAATGTCTACGTCTATATGAATAAAGTGAGGGTAGTATAACGTACAATGTGTTTACTTTAATATGTGTGTTGAAGTCTGAACAATATTAAAATATAAATTTACTTTTTTATCTGTAATAAGGTAGTGTTGAACATATATTGTTTGTTTCTTTTTTCTATTCGAATGATATTTTAATTGTACTTCATCCGTTCTTAAATAAATGCAACGGTCAACATTTCTTATTTGCCAAGACACAGTTTTGACCATCAATATATATAATTTTCTATGAGTAAAAAAATAAAAAATAAAAATAGATTTTGAAAATTTACAATGAGACAAATTTAACAATTGTTTTTTTTAAATATATTAATATATTAATAAATAAAATGTAATCAAAGTAGAACACGTGAATAGTGTAAAATTCAACATGTTGCAATTATTTAAGAACGGAGGTAATATAAAATTAACTATAAAGTGAATATAATGAGAAAATAAGCTGACAAACATGAAGATATGAATACGAAAAAATATTTTGATAACATATTAAACTTAAGCATTTCCTATTTATTCATTGTGTATATCCCGTAAATCTGTCGTGTATATATGGCATGCTTTGTGTGATCCATTGTGTTCCATCAATTTATTCTTGCTTGCTTGACCTTGCACTTCTGATCTCCATCTTAGTTGAATATTGTCTCATAATCACACGTTTCATTGAGTCGAAAAATCTACTATATGAAAAAGATGATCAAATAATACACTAAAGTTATAAATCACTTATCTAATGAAATAGTATATGTAAAGAATTAATTAACGCAACATGAAGAACAATAATAAAGAACATATGAAATTTGGTAACCCAGTTCGTCACAAAGGACTACGTCTGGGGGCGCTACCAAGCCAGAAATTGCTATTAATTGATATTTTAATTGTACTTCATCCGTTCTTAAATAAATGCAACGGTCAACATTTCTTATTTTCCAAGACACAGTTTTGACCATCAATATATATAATTTTCTATGAGTAAAAAAATAAAAAATAAAAATAGATTTTGAAAATTTACAATGAGACAAATTTAATAATTGTTTTTTTTAAATATATTAATATATTAATAAATAAAATGTAGTCAAAGTAGAACACGTGAATAGTGTAAAATTCAACATGTTGCAATTATTTAAGAACGGAGGTAATATAAAATTAACTATAAAGTGAATATAATGAGAAAATAAGCTGACAAACATGAAGATATGAATACGAAAAAATATTTTGATAACATATTAAACTTAAGCATTTCCTATTTATTCATTGTGTATATCCCGTAAATCTGTCGTGTATATATGGCATGCTTTGTGTGATCCATTGTGTTCCATCAATTTATTCTTGCTTGCTTGACCTTGCACTTCTGATCTCCATCTTAGTTGAATATTGTCTCATAATCACACGTTTCATTGAGTCGAAAAATCTACTATATGAAAAAGATGATCAAATAATACACTAAAGTTATAAATCACTTATCTAATGAAATAGTATATGTAAAGAATTAATTAACGCAACATGAAGAACAATAATAAAGAACATATGAAATTTGGTAACCCAGTTCGTCACAAAGGACTACGTCTGGGGGCGCTACCAAGCCAGAAATTGCTATTAATTGATATTTTAATTGTACTTCATCCGTTCTTAAATAAATGCAACGGTCAACATTTCTTATTTGCCAAGACACAGTTTTGACCATCAATATATATAATTTTCTATGAGTAAAAAAATTAAAAAAAAATAGATTTTGAAAATTTACAATGAGACAAATTTAAAATTTGTTTTTTTAAAATATATTAATATATTAATAAATAAAAGGGATAAGGGTCAGTTTGGTCCTCGAAGTTGCAAAAAAGGGGTCAAATAAGTCCTTATATAGAAGTTTCTGTCCGGACGTGCCATTTGAGGTGGCTCCCGGTGGAATTTTTTGATGAAATTTTTTGAGCGTCTTATTCATTAAGTCTAGTTTACTCATACCAAATTTCAGATAAAAATTCAATGGGGAAGACATTCAAATGAATTCTTGAAGATAACTGTGCCGTTAAAAGCGTTGTTATCTTCAAAAATTCATTTGAATGTCTTCCCGATTGAATTTTTTGCTGAAATTTGGTATGAGTAAACTAGACTTAATGAATAAGATGCTCAAAAAAATTTATCACAAAATTCCACCGGGAGCCACCTCAAATGGCACGTCCGGACAGAATCTTCTATATGAGGACTTATTTGACGCCTTTTTTGTAACTTCGAGGACCAAACTGACCCTTTACTCATAAATAAAACGTAGTCAAAGTAGAACACGTGAATAGTGTAAAATTCAACATGTTGCAATTATTTAAGAACGGAGTTAGTATAAAATTAACTATAAAGTGGATATAATGAGAAAATAAGCTGACAAACATGAAGATATGAATACGAAAAAATATTTTGATAACATATTAAACTTAAGCATTTCCTATTTATTCATTGTGTATATCCCGTAAATCTGTCATGTATATATGGCATGCTTTGTGTGATCCATTGTGTTCCATCTATTTATTCTTGCTTGCTTGACCTTGCACTTCTGATCTCCATCTTAGTTGAATATTGTCTCATAATCACACGTTTCATTGAGTCGAAAAATCTACTATATGAAAAAGATGATCAAATAATACACTAAAGTTATAAATCACTTAACTAATGAAATAGTATATGTAAAGAATTAATTAACGCAACATGAAGAACAATAATAAAGAACATATGAAATTTGGTAACTCAGTTCGTCACAAAGGACTACGTCTGGGGACGCTACCAAGCCAGAAATTGCTATTAATTTCGGATCAACAGATTACAAGGGAGAAAACTTGTATTTATAGAGAGTAAAACCTAACCCCAAAGCAACTAGGACGTGCGGCCCAAAACTGTACGACCCAAAACTGTACGAAAACTTGCGGCTCTTCAGAAATGGACCCAAAAAATTTCGATCGGGGCCTACCGCCCCCGTACCCCCGTCCAACTCCTCGTCGAGTTGGATCGATGAAATAGGATTGGTTATACAGTCTCTAACACCTTACAGTCATAATATAATGAATCATTTTCCCACTCTGTAAAAGTTAATAAGGATGTTTTTATTCGGACTGCTTTCAATCCTAGAACAGACCAATTCAGACCAGATCAGACCAAACTTTGACAATTATAAATACAAAGAGACCAAACCTTTATCATACCAGACCAGTTCAGATCAAACCATACCAAATCAGACCAGGCCAAAAAATCCGATCCAGTCCAACTAAAAACATGTGATGGAAGTAAATCCACCGGAAAATAATTAATAAGAGATAGCCGAAAAATAATTAAAGTGCTCAGGATAATCTTTAGAGAGATCAATGTATGTAGTGTATTCAGTGTATTGAGCTTGATCAACATTCCAAGGATTACATGATTTTATAGTAGAAAATGAGACATAAAAGATTTGGGCGACGTGGTCGCCATGTTCGATTTGATATGCAAATCAGTAATCCGGATCCGCGGGATCCTTTGTTGATTCACTTGATTGTGTGAATATCTTGAAAAGACGTCGTTGATGTAGTTTGTCGTACGGAGTCGCCATGTAGTTTTTGCCATGATGTCCAGAGACACCATGTATAGATTGTTTAGATAAGCTTCTACTACTATGTCCAGGGTCACTGTGGACATTTCTAGCTTTATATAAGCTCGCCATGACACCCAAGGCTATAGTGCCCTCTGGTCTTCTACTTGCGTCCATGGTTGCTGTGGACGTGCTCTTTGAATTGGATAAGCTTACCATGACATCCACGGTTACTACGTACTCCCCCTTCTTCTACTAACTCTCGTCCACAGTCGCTATGTACCGTCTTTTATCTCCCAAACCGCGCGTGGTCACCACGTACGAGCTCTTCTTATACCTTGTCATCATCCGCGCATAGTTACTATGCACATCAACCTCTAACTGTTTTCATCTATGTTAACCCGGTCAATATTTATCTATGGTTGGGATAATTATACCATCACAAGCCCCCCACTCCCTAAGCCAAATAGCATATTGGCGATAGGGAGTATAGGCATAGTTGCCGTGTCAATGTTGATAGACATAGTTGCCGATTCAATGTTGAGTGTACATGGTCACCATGTCAATTTTTGTTTTTTGTCTTTACCCATTCAATCATTTTAACTAATTCAATTTTCCTTTTCTTTTACTGAAGTGTGCAGCTCATGACTCCAAATTTACTTCCTTCCTGGCAGCTTCGTTGGTGAGGGTCAAGGACTGCCATACTGCCCAGGTCGCAGCTCGTCGGCAGCCACCAGCCGGTCAACGTCTCCAGCCGCCACCAGCGTCCAATTACGCAACCAGCCTACCCACGTTCGAAGTTCTTGCCTGCCGTCGTACTCCATCCGCCCCAGACGGTCGCTGCGAGTAAACAGAGCACCCCAACCACACCGGCGGTGTCCCTATAGCCTGGCATTAGCGCACTCCGGTGACCTCAGGGACTGTTCGCCGTCGTCGTCTGTCATCCTGCCATCGTCGTCGTTGTCCCGCTGAAGGTCTGAATCAGATTCCGCCGCCGTTGCTGTTAGAATACACAGGTATGCTCCCGTTTTCTGTCTTCTTTCCTTTTATTTGTAATTTTGACTTCCCTCTTAAGTCTCCTCCGTAATTTTGGCTTTGAACATAACTCCTTTTGCTATGTCATTGATGTTATCAATCAATTGCAGTGACGTACGAAGTATCTTTCAATTTTTTTTTTTATAGCTAATGACTGATATACGTAGTAATATTTTTTTTTTTTTAATAATTAGCGGCTGATTTTTCTCTTGCCCTTTTTTTTTGCATAATATGTTAGCTGTTAATACCTTATGGATGTACTGGACTCCATAGACTCTGATGAATTGTTCAGTGGTGACGGGGAATTAGTGTTGGAGAATTTTCCTCATCCCTGGGCAGATGTTAATTCTGATGTTGAAGAAATTAGTCCCATAAAGCCACGAGCCGCTTCAGTCAAACCACCAAAACGTCGCTACCGTGGTCCGTATCCACCCTTAGACCCGAGCCCCATCTTACACTACAGGTCGCGCCTCTCAGTTTCCAAGTTTCAAAAGTATAAGAAATTTTTTCCGTCCACAGTGACTGTCCGATGTCCAGATTCGGAGGATATTGTAACCGATCCTCCTAAGGGTCACTTTTTCGGGGTGCATATTCTTTCCATAAAATTAGGATTCCGCTTTCCCACACACCCTTTGATTATCGAGTTTTTAAATGATCTTGAAATTTCACCTTGTCACTTGACTCCGCTCGGTTATCAGTATTTGGTAGCTTTCCTGGTCCGGTGTAAGACACTTGGGATTGAACCGTCCCTAGACCTCTTCAAGCACATGTTCCGAGCTGGGCAGTGCTCGGCATCTGATAGTCTGTCCTGGGTGTCTATCTCTCAACGCAACCACTTTGACATGTGGAAGGTCACTCGTAGCAACGAAGCCAATTGGAAAGAAGAATTTGTCTATGTGTCGTCTGGATCTCCGTTACCTTTTTCATCGTCTTTGAATTGTCGGTTTAAGAAGTATTCGTACCCGAAACTTCCGGTTGACCAGGAGACATGGCCGGCTATGATTCTTTCTGGAGGACCGTATAGCCTCTCTGCCTTTACTTCCGAGGACCGCCTAACCACGGTTGGACTCTATTCGCCGTCACCATGTTCGGGTGCACACGCATCCACGTCCACGGATCAAGGTTGTCCACAGTTACTTTGTCTATAGGAGATAATACACGCATATATATATATATATATATATATATATATATATATATATATATATATATATATTAACTAACACATATGCATACCCCCCTTTTTTTTGCAGATATGACATCGCGGTTGGAGATGTTCCAAAGCTTCGACCAGGATGGGCCTCGCGGTAGTGACCAGGGGCGCTCTGACAAGAAACCAAGGGTTCCCTCCGTCACAAAAGGCAAGGATGCCATTGTAACTGTGCCTTCATCCATTGCAAAACGCAGGGCCGCTAGCCCCGCAGCCCGCGTCACCCGTAGCATGAGTGATATTCCCACGGCGGGGATGACTACTTGGTTACGAGGTAACCTTGAGTTACCCCCGCTCTTATCACAGGTGATCACGGCGACTGAGAAGGAGAAAATTTCAACACTTGACCATGCTGCTTTAGAGAAGAGGAGCCACCATGGCCTGGCCGAGGTAACCCTTCCATTTCCCCGTTACCTTTTATTTATGCATCTTGTGATACTAATTTTTTTTTCTTTTTTGTAGCTACTGTTGTCCATCTCCGAGGTGAACCGAAGGAAAGATGAGCGCGAGAAAGATTTGTCGCTACAACTCACCGAATTAGCGAAGGAGGTGGCATCGCTCAAGCTCGTGCGTGACTCACATGCAGCCGAGGTCACTGCGCTTAAAGAAATGCACGCCGTGGAGTTGGCCAATGCAAGGGGGCGGGCCGTGGATGCATACAAGAATTCTCCAGAGTTCGTGTCTGATCAGGAAGCATACATTAATGCCCACTTGAACGATATTAGCAAGCATTGGTTGTCTACTCCGGAAGGTCGTGAGAAACTGGCCTTAGAGAGCTACATCTCCTACCAGATCGGGATATATGCCACTCAACAGAAAATATATCCTATCTTGAGGGATAAGGCTGGTACCTCTTGCATCACTGATTGGGGACTTCCTCCTGAGGTTCCCAACCCTGAGATCCCGGTAGCCAACACGCCCCTGGACTATATTCCTTTTGACAGACTCCCCACTGATGAGGAGCTTGGCGATCTTCCTTCCGAGACAGATCACCCAGCTTCGACTGCTTCTGTGCCTTAGAGCATGCATGGGAGTGACGGATGGACGTAGTGTAGACTTTAATTCTGTCATGTCTTCAATTATGAGTACCTGAATTGCTAAACATGTTTTGAATTTCATAAAATAATAATGATGCATGTCTTATTTTCTTTTCGTTATTGTTTAGTATTATCGCATAATTAATTATTTGACCAACATTTAGGTTTTATGAGACCGCGCGGTGACCATGCCTTGTTTGGCATGGTTTGTGTGATAATTTATAGTAGTGTACGGTGATACTACACCAAGTGTATAACTTTGGTGCATTTATCGCCCCGTATCTGCCTAATTTTCAATTGAGGCATTGTGCATTTAGATAGAGTGACTGAGGACAACGATAGGCACAAGGTGTCGTTGACACCTCCTCCTTCGCTACATTGCGCGCATCACTTATTCCCAAAAAATAGGACTAAGTGAGCGAACCTAACACCTGAGTGACTTAGGCTTGCTCTGGGGCACACAACGTTTTTTGGGAAACATGGCCGCTATCCGATATATTTCACAGATGCATCCTGACCATACAACCCTGAGGGTTACGCATTTGTTGGGATCGATTTGCGATGTATCCTCGTCCCCTTTCTAGGGGCGAGTCTATACCCCTTGCGTGTTGAGAATTTCAGCTATGTCATAGGAGACATGCCTGGCTACTTACTAGTTTTTTATTTCATTTTTTTTTTGTTTTGGGTGAGTTTTACACCCACGGTGTCCTTGGATGACACCTTGTAATTTGTTTTTGTTTTGGGTGAGCTTGACACCCACAGTGTCTTTGAACGACACCATTTTTTTTTTTTTTTTTTTTTTTTGCGGCCAGGGACTACCATTATTCACTCTTGTGTGGATCAAGGAGATCTCTTATTTGAAAACAGTGGATGGAAAAGGACCGCGTTTACCACCATACATGGTTACCATACATCATAATCATCAGGTTGGAGTATCAATGATAAATTTTCAATGGTAAAACTTGAGCAAGTGTTCTGCGTTCCAAGTCCTCTCAATTTCTTTTCCCTTCGGCGTCTGGAGTTTGAACGTCCCTGGACGGATCACTGATTTAATCACGTAAGGGCCTTCATAATTTTTGGCAAATTTCCCCCCTTCCAAGGGTTTGCTGACCTCCCTTTTTCTCAAGACATAGTCCCCAACTTCAAAGTTGCGTTTACGAACTCGAGAATCATGGTATCCCTTCACCTGCCTTCTATAGTTCTCCGCACGGCAGAAAGCCGCTTCTCTTCTTTCTTCAATAAAAAGAAGCTCGGTCGCCATGACCTCCTCGTTCGTCTCGGGGTCATATTCCTCTTCTCGGCGGCTATGGAGAATTACTTCCGCAGGTGCCCTCGCCTCGAAACCATATGTCAAGGAGAATGGTGTCTCCCCTGTGGCCTTTCTTGGTGTGGTCCTGTATGCCCAGAGTATCTGTGGTAGTTCTTCAGCCCACTCCCCTCCGGCAGCTTCCAGCTTTTTCTTCAAACCGTCCATGATCGTGCGGTTTGCATTCTCCACTTGGCCATTCGCTTGGGGATAGGCAACTGACGCATTGCTGTGTTTGATCCCCCAACTCTCACAGAATTCGTTAAACCCGGATGCTCCGAATTGCCTCCCATTATCGGTTATGATCTGTTGGGGTACTCCAAAGCGACAAAGGATGTGCTTCATGACAAATTTTCTGCATTGCCCTTCAGTGATGCTTGCTAGGGGTACTGCTTCTATCCATTTAGTAAAATAGTCTATGGCAACGATAACCCATCTCACGCTCCCTGTTCCCCTTGGTAAGGCACCAATGAGATCTATTCCCCACCTTGCGAAAGGTATAGCCGTGCTGATGGGGGTGTAGTTGGTGGCTGGACGTCCCGGAGATTTCTGGAACTCTTGACACACCACACACCTCTTGACAAATTCAGCGCAATCCTTAACTATGGTTGGCCAGAAGAAACCTTGTAGGATTACCTTTCGGGACATGGTGTGTGCTCCTTGGTGAGCTGAGCATATCCCTGCATGTATCTCTTCCATGGCAACCTTGGCTTCATCTGGTCGTAAGCACTTGAGAAGCGTGCCATTGTAAGACCTCTTGTACAGTTTCTCATTCAAAATGGTATAACTCGGCGCCCTCATCTTAGTCACCTTGGCTTCAACCTCCTCCGCGGGCAGCACTCCCTCGTTGATATACTTGATGAGGGAGTCAATCCAGTCCGCGTCCCTCGTGGTTATGGCCTGGACAGGGCATGCATATATGCTGGAAGTGTCCAACTCTTCTATCCTTGCAATCTTTGAAATCCTTTCCGGTGTCTCTGCACTTAATTTGGATAACATGTCTGCTTCGACATTTTGCGCTCTTGGTATCTGTTCAATTTCATAGGCGATGAACAATTTCAGAAGTTCTAGGGCAGCGTCACGATATAGCCGCATCCGTTCTTCCTTCGCCTCAAACTCAGTCGTGATCTGTCCAACCACTAGTTTTGAATCACACCGTATCTTGACCTTCTCTGCCCTCATGTTTGCTGCCAAGCGTAGACCACATAGTAGAGCCTCGTACTCTGCCTCATTATTCGACACCTTGAAGTTGAACCGGATAGCGTAATAGGCCCTGAAGCCTTCGGGCGTGGTGAGGACCACCCCTCCCCCGCAAGATTTGGCCGCGGAGGAGCCATCCGTGGACAGTATCCACCACTCTTGTTCATCGTCGCCATGCTTCATCTTCGTTGCTTCCTCCCGCGCCGTGCATTCTACTATGAAATCTGCAAGAGCTTGCCCCTTGATGGAAGGTCTTGGCTTCACCTCTATATGAAATTGACTTAGATACACTGCCCATTTGACCATCCTCGAGGAAGCCGTGGGACTCCTCATTAAGGCACCCAGGGGTTGGTGTGACAGTACATGGACAGGGTGAGCTTGGAAGTATTGCGTGAGCCGTTTGACCGTCCACACCACGGATAGAACAGTTTTTTCTATGGTTGTGTACCGTAACTCAGCGTCCCTCAAAGTTTTGCTTACATAGTAAACGGGTCTTTGGACGCCACCATCTTCACGCACCAAGACAGAACTAATTGCACTTGGTGAAACCCCTAGGTATAGGTATAGTGTCTCCCCCGCTTCAGGTTTAGATAACACTGGAGGAGACAAGAGGTAGTTTTTCAATCCCTCGAATGACTTTTGACACTCCTCAGTCCATACGAAACCCTTTGATTTCTTCATGATGTGGAAGAATGGCGTGGCTTTCTCCGCTAGTTTTGATAAGAAGCGGTTCAAAGCCGCCAAGCGTCCCGTCAATCGCTGCACTTCTTTGACATTACGAGGAGGTTCCATTTCGAGTATGGCCTTGACTTTCTCCGGATTTGGCTCGATTCCTCTTCTGCTTACCAAGTAACCCAGGAACTTCCCTCCTTGCACGGCGAACGTGCACTTCTTTGGATTGAGACGAAGATTGAACTTCTCCATGATTTTGAACACCTCTGCCAAATCCACGGCATGCGTACCTGCTCTTTTACTCTTCACAATCATATCATCCACGTAGGCCTCCATGGTGCGGCCTAGGACAGGTCGAAAAAGTTTAGAGATCATGCGGGTGTACGTTGCCCCAGAGTTTTTCAGCCCAAACGCCATGACTAAGTAACAGAAAACACCCTCTGGAGTCATGAATGAGGTCTTCTCTGCATCCTCCTCATGCATGCGAATTTGGTGGTATCCACTGAAAGCATCCATGAAACTCATCAATTCACACCCCGCTGTCTCGTCCACCAATTGGTCGATGTTAGGCAATGGGAATGGATCCATCGGGCATGCCTTGTTTAGGTCAGTGTAATCCACACACATCCTCCACGTTGGGGGTTTAGGTGCCAATACCACATTTGCCAACCATTCTGGGTATTTCACCTCCTTGATGTGGCCGATTTTTAACAAGGTGCCCACTTCTTTCCTTACGAATTCCCGCCTGTCCGAGGACATGTAACGTTTCTTTTGTTTCACCGGTTTTGACATAGTGTCCACATCTAGGCGATGAGAGATGACATCTCTACTGATGCCCGGCATGTCCTCTGGTCCTCTTGCAAATATGCCTTGGTACATAGTCAGGACGGTTATGACCTCAGCGCGGAGCTCAGCTGACAATCCGGTGCCTATCTTAACCTTGCGCTCTGGGGTTGCAGGGTCAAGGGTGACCTCTTCTGTCCCTTCTGCTGGTTCAGCACGGGGTCTTCGCTCTTCATCTTGTAGGTATTGTGTGGCCACAGTGTTTACCTGGAGGCCATGCCGCCCCACCTTCTTTGTGATTTTTATGTAACATGTTCGGGCGAGCTTCTGGCTCCCGCGTGCTATCCCCACTCCGGTTGGTGTTGGGAACTTAATACAAAGATGTGTCGGGGACACAATGCACTGCAAATCTTCCAGGCCTGGCCGTCCGAGTATAAGATTATGTGCACATGTCAGTCGGACAACTACGAACTCCATGTTGAGTTTCACTTTATGGGATGTGTCCCCCACCTCTACCGGGACCGTGACAACTCCCTCTGCCTCGATAGAGTCACCCGTGAACCCAGATAACGGGGTTTTTATCGGATGGAGTTTTCCTTTGGACAACTTCAGTTTCTCGAAAGTGTCGAGGTACATTATGTTAACGGAACTTCCAGTGTCGACCAGGGTACGGTGTATGACAAGATCATTGATCTCCATTTTGATAACCATGGCATCCCGATGTGGGCTTGGACATGGTGGTAGGTCATCATCAGTAAAGCATATAGGTTCACGTCGTACCTTCTTTTTCATTGGAGAGTGCATGATCTCACCAATGTACAGTTGACGAGCCCATTTCTTTCGAAGGGACGAAGAGTCCCCGCCTGCATTACCTCCATAAATGAAATTGATGTCATGGTTCCTCTTGTCTCGCTTCGGCCCTGGCTCATCCGAGGTATCCTCGTCACTCTCATTTCCAATGTGTCTTTTCTCTGCCCTTCGGGTCTCCGGCTGCGTGCATGCCACTTGTTCTGATGATTTCCGCCATACATGGTTGGGCTGCTGTGCAGCCCCTTTGACGAAGTTACTCAGATGGCCTCTTTGGATCAGTCTTTCAATCTCGCGTTTCAAGGTAAAGCACTCCTCC